CTGATGATAGCAGGTGGATGTGGTTGTGATTGGGTGGATGCAGCAGCAGTGATGGTTCTGGAGAAACCTTGCAGAGCAATGACGGAGCAGAGGGAGAACTCTGTAACTTTGACAGTTTAAATAGGCTGCTAACTTGAAAAGGTGCTTTGGATAGCTGCTGAATAGGGGCATGTCACATTTGAATGTAGCTGTGCAACTCTAGTTGACTACCTGTACTACTTTCTTGAGAAAATGCAACAGATAGAATGCCTCATTGATGTACTGCAATGTGTAGCCATACTATATTTTTCCTAGGAGCGTAGTGGAGTCTAGTTATCCAAAGTCCTAAGCTGCAATAAGTTAACTGAATCACTGGTGACCGAATAAACTGCTTTTTAAATCTGAAGCTTCGAGGCGACTCAACTCTCTGACATTCATCTGTCAGTTCCGTCGCGATCTGTATATGTATCCTGGGTAAACGCTGGTTGAAGGACAAAATAAAATACACAAAATAAGCTTACAGATAGTGATTGTACCGGTCATGTTTTGTACTGAACCGAACGAAATAAATCGAACCAGACCAACTATACAAAAAATCCAAGGCTAAACCGAGGACAAGAAGTACCACGAAGCGCGCAGTCCACTTATTATCATGTTTTGACATTTTCCCTTTTATATTTGAAGAACTCAAAGCATGAATAAAGAATAAAAAAGAAACAACAAATAAATGTGTGTTGCAATGAACTGAACATGTCCACTTTTTTATCCATACACACTGTACATACTTCCTTTGTCCATTTGAATGGGTGTTGACATCATTTCCGGCAACGCTAATAAAGAGCTGCGTTTTGATGAGGAAACCTGAGGGCCATGAGGGAGCGCAGGTAATTGAACTCAAGTTTGGACTCAAATAAACAAATCCAGCGTGAAAACAGCCTTCGTCTTTGACAGGTGGCTTGGGTATTTAAGCAACATATCACTGGTTGAGGAATCTAAACTAAATGCCTTCGGGAGCCGAGCCTTTGATGTTGTAGCAGCGGCTCGGACTGGCAAGTGGGAGATTTGGGTTTGTTTTCCATTCGGTTATACAACAAAAGAAAGGGAGTATTTTAAGATGCCGCCCTCCCCCGTCTCTTTGGACAGCTTTCGTTTGCTGGCAAATGAGCACGGGGGTACAGACCCTCCTCTCCGCTTCATTGGGCAGTTTGTATAATGTTCTCATTGATTTCAGCCTTGGCATCACGGATGACACCTCCGCATTGCCCAGACTGAAGAAGGATCTACCTCATTTATCCCTATAGCTCAGAGTAAGCTGAGGATGTGTGTGTAGGCGTGTGTGTGTGTGTGTGTATTCGAGGGAGAAAGACATTTAGAGAATTTAGGTAGCATGTTCGAGTGCGTGTGTGTGGGTACTCGTGCGAACGCTCACTGTACGTATCTATATGCTTCCTACGTGTCATAAGGACGTTAAGACAGCAGATGTCTTTTTTTTCCAGGGCAGAGGCAACACAACCAGCGTGAAAACAAATACAAACCCTCATAAGTCAACTTCTCTCCTCCAAAACTAGACGACTAGGACATGCAAACAAAGGGTGCATTGATATCGGCAGTGACACACGGGTGGCAGCTGTACACATCATGTCATTCAGTCGTGGCTGCTGTGAAAGGGGGACTTTGTCAGATGAAGTGGAGTCTGGTGATGTGCTTTCATCCTGTGTGGAAATGTTGTGTAAAATAACGTAGGCTGTTGTCCTTGAAATTAAAATGTAACCAATGCTGCAAATTAAATCCTTAAGTTGGTTACTTTATAAAGATCTGAAAAACTGATTTCCCTCCTCTCTACCTTTATTTCAGTACATCTAGTCTTTCTTATTTTCTTGTCAAAGTCATATCATGAAGTTATTGTCACATGATAATACAGATGCAGATGAGAAATATTAAAAACTGAAAATTCTGACTCAAGTATTGAACAGCAAACTTTTTCATGTAAGAATTTACCAAATTCACGTTATCTATGCTGTTCATCTCATGTTTTTACTTTCCAACGACCAGCCAGTCAATACACGAATCTCAAATGTCAGAGCTTCCTTAAATGCAGCACCAAGAGAGAAGTTTTCAAAAGTCTTTAGAAACAAAAAAGTGAAGCTCACTGAATGTTCACAGTGACAGATTACAGCAAGTTTCCACCCTGATGATTTTCATATTGCACTGGCTTCATCTTCTGAAACCAGCGTTCTGCATGGAAGGTGGAAAAATCATTCTCATAACACGGGGTACGCTTTGGAAAAAATACACAATCACTAAAGTACACAACATTTGTAGTTAATGAGCTATAACCACTACTATGGTCCTTAAAACTCCAACAGCAACATTGGATTTTCTCCACGATCAAAGATGAATCCGCGTGTATAGTGTGTTATTATACTCCGTACTGAGAATTAGAGCTGAAAGAAGTGACATTAATGATAACAGAATCAGAATATGTAATTAACTCTGCCTTGTAGCAGTTGGAAACTTTGGCAAACTAAGAAGAAGATATCCTACAGTCATCTGAAGGATGGAAACGGCGCTGTACTCAGGGTTGTATAAAGACTGCTTTTTCTTCACTCAGTGACAGTGTTATATTGGTTCAGATTACACGCTCCCATAGAGAGTTGGGGGCTTGTCATTTGTGATGCCTGATGCAACCGTAAGGCAACTCTGTGCCCCACAGCGAACACTCCCGGCTATACCGAAGCTACTTTGCCGCACAGCGCTCCAAATACCACAGGCCTTTCATAAAAACACACATATTACACCCGCAGGCGAAGGACACAGAGATGCATGTGTCTATGTATATACCACTCGTCGCACCCCTACATTTAATTATATCCTCTGCAACATGGAGGATAGTAAAAAATATTTACAGGGGTCCAAAAGTCTGAGAACGCTTTCCCAGAAACTGGATGTTGATTCCTACCTCAGCATACACACTCCTCTCCTGAAGGAAATTCAAACTGTCATGCAAATAAATATCACTATCATTAACTTTTATAACACAACAGTGGTTTGGCCGTAGCTGGGAATGTGTTTTACTTCTTGTTAAGAGGAAGTTTGTAATAAACAGAAGAATAACTGAGGCGTTAGATTGTCATTGTGCCTCAGCAGACATAAAGCATCACCTACAGAGACTTCAACCGTTACTGACGGAAAATCAAAGAGATGTCACTTTAATGCCGACCATGTTTTAGTGACATGTGAGGCGCTCATCACATGTCGAGCATCACAGCAGGAAGCGTTTGCTGCAAACATAAAATAAAATGACGAGAGGCCTCAAAAATTTCAATTTTCGACTGATGCAACTGCCGTATATATATATTTCTCGTTGCCAGGGAAATCTTGGATTTCAAAGCAGAAGATTTTTATTTTAAATAATTGCTTTCATTTATCATCGAACTTGGCCATTTCATCAAACTGATGCACAGCATACTGCATGTACTCTAATGTTTTCCCCAAGGACATGTCATGTAACTTCAAATTGATGAGAATCATAGAACAAATAGTCACCATCAAAAAAAAAACTGTTATAAGTTTAGAATCATCTACAGGAAATATTTCCTTAGAAAGACTATTATCATGACTTATATTATACTATTTCTAAGTGTTTTTATTAGACACACGCACACCACAGGATGTACGATGAAATATAAACTGAATTTATTGCATTAAGTCTTACAAACTATAAGAAAAACCTTGATCTAAACATGACATGATATTAAGATAGGGTCCAACTGATACGACAGCTGTGACAAAACCTTCAGCCCTAAAGTCTGGAAATGTGATGAAAGCAAAAGTCAAAAGAGGAAAGGACTGCTCACCCGCTGTTTTGTTGCTCCCAGAGTTTCCCTCACTAACAAAAAAAACAGTCTTTGTAGTGTCAGAAAACATGTTCAGTTTAAAAGTTCATCAAAGCAATGATATCCAACTGTCTTTGGAGGTTTCTGGTTGAGACTCTAGTAACTCATTCTATTAGATTTCTCTGGTAATCTGCTCCCAGAACATCTAATCATATGATGTTTATGCCCACCACACTTGTAATGAATGAATATGATCTGTGGCTCTTTTCTATACTAGATGAGAACACACACACACACACACACACACACACACACACACACAAGCTGTCACTAATCAATCTTTCATGGACCTCCTGGAAACATTCAGATCCCGGCCAAAACCTGAACTCCTATGCTAAACATGTGCAGCCTATTTAAACACACATGCATGCACAAGAAGACACTTCCTTGCTGATTTGTAGTACTTTGTACTATAAGGAAGCAGCCCTCCGGGTCGCATCAGTGTTACAGTAGCTGTTGTAGCTAAAATGCTAAATTGCCTTCATTATTATAGTAATAAAACTGGATCAACCTGCAGATGTTTCTTATTACATTTCATGCTACAAGGGCAGCTGCCTTAGATACAAAAGTTAGGTGGATTACATGTAAGTGAAGCAGAGTGTAATATCTGACAATGGAAGATAAAATGTCAAAGGCAGACAACGAGTGGCCTGATCAGACACACATGCCTCCGGCTTTGAAATCACAGAACAGATTCTTTAATAGGTGAAGCATCGGATGCAGAAAACAGCCACAAAGTTCCCATATCTGCAAACACACCAAACAACTGGACTAAATCTTTGCTAAAGTGGCTGCATGTTAGAGATTCTCCTTTGATGCCACTGCAGGCAGCGATCACCACAGATCAGCAGTACAGAAAGTCCAGCAGCACCCTGCGGACACGGTGAGACTGGGGAGAGGATGTCCTGGATAACAGAACTCATCACTAGATTTTCAAAAGGAGCTACTGTATCTTATTTCTACTACTTCATTTAAAGGATTATTACCATAGGATCTGACAATTAGTGAAACAATAACAACAAAAATCTCTCATTAAAGCCTAGTTTTTACAGGAAAGAGAATAACTTTAAAATCATTTATGCCCAGCAGAGAGAAAAGAGAGAATAAAAGCATCAGTGTGCCTACCTGTATCAGCGACATGTTACTGAGGTCCAGTCTGAACAGGTAGTTTCTGGATTGAGGAGAGAGGAGAGGGAGATATGTGAGTGTGTGCACAATCTGACTGACCTTTATCCAGAAAAAAATGTGTTTAATAATGCAAATTAAGTATCAGAGAAGAGACAGGCCATTTTAGCTGCTGTCAACTTAAAGCCAAGCCGATTACAGGCCACACTGTGACTGTCCCTCAACCTCAAGTCATTGTTTTTAGTTTTACTTCAGCCTGAGTTTCTGCATAATACATGAACTTTTAGTTACATTTCTGTGTGCATGTGTTTTTAAGAGGGTTGAACCTGGTGAAAGCTAAACTCATGTCAGCTCATGGGAATATGTGCACGCGCGCACACACACAAACACACACACACACTCTATCGTGGCATGACGTATTTCCTCCAAATCCATCCCCACTGCCAAATCCAAAGCTTGAATTGGTCCAATGAGGTCTCAGCAGAGCACTTAAGAAGCGTCATTATCCGAAAACCACAGAGTATGAGTGAGTCAGAAAGGGTATCGCGTTCTCAGTAATGTGCTCTGTGGGGTGAGAAGCTGAGTGGATTTACAGTTTCTTACCTGGCACCCACAATAAGCTCATTCCTAGTCAGGTCAAGGGTGAGCTGGGAGTAGTCTCTCACGCCAGGGTGGGAGAAAGTAGACATCCATGGACTGAGCGCTGCAGAAAGAAAGAAAGAAAGAAAGAAAGAGAAAGAAAGAAAGAAAGAAAGAGAGAAAGAAAGAAAGAGGTCTGTTAGAAAAAGCTAAACTGGGTCATAGTTCAAAAGCAATGACATCTACAGACAGTACCCACAAAACACAATGAAGTTCAAAAAAGCAAACAAAGGCCTTGTTATTTTATGCACAATTGTTGCCATATGTTTATGTTTTAAATGATCACATGATGCTGAAATCAACAGTAATGACACTCAGTTGAAGCCATTTCAACTGAAACTGACTGACATTTGCTGGTTGCAGCTTCTGTAATGTGAGGATTTTCTCATTTTTCCTTTTGTACATTGAATCCCTGTTTGTTTGGACCCCTGCACTATGGGGATTTGGTGTGGTGGACATTTCTTTTACTATTTTCTGACATTTTCTTGATTAAACAGCTCATCAATTATTAAAAAAAAAAACATTACGGATATACATGTGGATCATGATGAAAATGATATGTTGCAGCTGTAGTTGTAAAAAGTGCAGTGAACAGGGGAGGGAATGGGATGTTCTCTCCTGCAGAGACGGATAAAACTGTCCAGGCCACATCAGACACAACAATCCTGATACAACCTGACACTCGGACAAACACAGCTCTGTGTGGCGTATGGGGCTGAAGCCTCAGCGCTGTTTGAAACTGGCTTCCGCAAATCAAAAATTTCAAAGCAACAGAGCAGAGGGGCCACCTGACGGGGGCTTTAAATGTCACACTAGAAAACTGCAGGAAAAGAACATTTGCTCTTAAATCTTTGTGTGTCCAAAGGGCGGACATTTAAACAGATTCCACGACATGGGAGGTTTATGCAGCATAAAAGGAATTACCATATTTCCCCTGTTGTACACAGAATCGCAGCAGTCACTGGGAATTCAGATGCAAGTTTGAAAAGCCATTTACCAGGCCATTTTATGCTGAAACCAGGTTATGAAAACATGAACAATAAAAAAAAAAAAAAAAAAAAAAAAAAAAAAAAAAAAAAAAGGAAAATGTAAAGCTGTGATCACAGGGGAAACATTTGGCCTCACTGCTGATCCTCTATTCATTAGGGAACCCGTCATCAAACATTTAAAACCTTAAACCTTAATTTCTTTAAACAGTAAAGTAGTGGTATAAGCTCAAGGCTACGAGTGCAAGACTACATCAAAGTGTTGGAAGAAGTCAGAGCGAGCGGTGAAACAACTTCCCGTCATGTGAAGTGAAGGATTTTTAGGAGTGATGGGGCCCATATGGCTCAGTCACCTGGAAACATAACTGGAGATATGAGTGATAAAAACACAGAAGGCTGCAGCTACACTACAGTATGGTGCTCTTCATTTAAAAGACGGATACAATACACACACGCAGAAGGGAAACACACAGAAACTCACACATTCTGAGAGTAAGCGTGCCAGCACCGACGGGGTACATCAGTGAAATGAGAATTATCTGGTACAGTCTGTTTTTTTCCAGATGTGGATCAGCAAGGGGTGGATTTCACCGAGCTGCTGTCAGACTGAAATTTACTCCAGGTTTTGCAGTTGAGACGTGATCAGAGCTGAAGGAGTCATCGTTTTTAGGATAAAATTAATATATAATGAGTGCATGTTTCAAATTACAATACAATTGTTATTATCATTTAAAGGATAAGACTCCTGTCGTTTCATGTTTCTGTCACAGTTAAAAAATCCCATGAAACAGATCAAAACAATGCATTAGTATGTAAATACACACATAAATATGTATATATATGTATAAACTGTGTGTGTGTGTGTGTGTGTATGCGTGTATTTAAAACAGCTGGTAACAAACATTACTTGAACAGGAGTCAATACTGCATTTATTCTGTCTTTTTTAAGCTTCTGATTATTAAACATTCAGCGCTCTAACAGTGTGGACAGGACAGTGTGTGTGTGTGTGTGTGTGTTCATGGAAATGAAGGAACATGTCACTCACTGCAACAGTGTGGCTCACTGATGTGTTTCTAATCGTTTGTGGACAACAATGGAGCTCTGCAGCAACAGGAATAAGATCTTCCTTTAGATACACACTATTTGTAATAATTGTATTTAAAAAGACAAAGGCAGGACTGCTATAAAAGACCAACAGAGCGGTGATATTTTATTTATTTTTTCTATTCTCTATCTATTCTCTATCTATTTTCGCTGGGTTAGAGCCACCCCCAGTTGACATTGGGCGATATACACACCGGACAGGTCGCTAGTCAGTCCCAGGGTTGAAACACAAACAACCACTCACACTCACACCTATGGGAAACCAAGAGTCACCAATTAACCTAACCTGCATGTGGAGAGGGAACCCACACAGGCCCAGGACCAGGCACATGCAGACTCCACAGAGAAAGGCCCTAGGCGAAGCGGGGTTTGAACCCAGAGCCTTCTTGCAGATGTTTGCCATTATTAGGGTAAACAGAAAACTATGCAGCTATAAATATGAAAACATATTTGAATGTCATGATCAGATTTGGACATTTTTGAGTAATATCAAGTATACCTCCAATGTAATACCTTACTGACTGTGAGCTCTAAAGCCAGTGACTTTTCTCCAAGTGACAAAATAAAAGCATAATGAACATTATAAACCCTAAAAAGGAACATGTAAAAAATAATTACATTTTTTATTGTGTTTGCACCTTCAAAACTAGATACTTTTTTTAACAAACTGTTCAGTCCTGAATGGAAGTGTAACATATGCTCTGTATGTAGTGCACCGAAGCTCGGAAACAAAAAAAGTCAGAGCCGCACACACACTGCCTGAAGCAACAAAATGATACATGGTTAATTATATCAACAACAGCTCTGGTCTCATTCAGAACATTACAAGAGAAACATGAACACGGTGCTACAATGATTTTTAATCAACCAGCCAGTGCAGAGAAGTAATGTAACCTTTAAAAATTAATAACAGACTGTAAAACACTTTTACACACACATACGATTAAATCACTGATAACCTCAGCACACATAATAAATCACTGGGCACCCCAGTGTAATTCTAATACTAAACAAATTCTACAAGAGGCCGTCTCTTATTCGCTCTATAAATATTTATATTACATGTATGCACATAGATTGTTTCCATTTCTCAAATGTGGTTCATGCATCTACGGGTTGACCATCTCAGACATGCTGGATGGGTTTAGAAACCATGCAAAGCTGGTGCAAGGAGGCGAGCAGGACCATCTGTACATCACTTCTGATTAATGGCTGCAGAGGGCAAAGCTGGACGAGCAGAGGGGAGCGCAGCGTAAGCCTCACAATCTTATATAAACAGACCTGAAGTTGACTTAAAGAATCCAGCTCGCTCACAGACTAGCACAAAGCAGCTGCATGTGTGAACAGAGCATGTGTGTGTGTGTGTGTGTGTGTGTGCAGTGTCCCTGTAAATGTAAGTTTTAAAAAAAAAATGACTAACATACAAATGAGATCATTAGAATGATCTAAATCAGTTCTTTAAACACTGACTACATTAATTTGCACAGCAACCTAATTAGTGTTCAAAAGATTATCTTCATATACGGTGGGCTCCAAAACTGAGATCACTGTTCAAATATTAGCCAATTATATTAAAGCTATATGCTACGTTTTGAGCAGGTATACTGGTGACTGATGTGATAGGCAACTTCAATATTAACTTAATAAATAAACAGGATTATAGAATGCTTTATGTTGAAATGCTTTATGCTAAAATGATTTATGTTAAAACGCTGATACTGATATTGAGCTGATAAAGCTGAGAGTGATAAAAGCATTAGCTCTACTTACAGTCATTGTGTGTCTGCAATATCTGCAAGTATTTGTTGCTTATTTAATGTATTAACTATGGCTTTTTTCCCTCTTTTTTTTGCTTTTTCCTATTTAAAAAGGGGTTTTTTTCACCTAATGACGAACTATTAATGACTAGTGACTAATGGACTTAATGGATTTGTGTAACTGAACTATCAAACTATATTGCTGAACCTTCCAAAATAAAAGGAGAAAGGAAAACAAAAACTAGATGGAAAAAGCAGGGTAGATGGAACAATCTCTTCCAATTTGGGAAGCTGCACACACTCTTAACTTGACAATTGGGATGCAGCACCTGGAAGGATTATGATTGGATACAAGAATATTAGGCAGTGGAACACTAACTAAACAATGCACCTTAAACAGAAGCATTGTTGATATTTGTGAATATCAACAATACTGTGCGCATAGTAATGTGACAACAACAGTGGACTAATTAAAGCCATTGTTATGTGTCGATTAAGACTGTATGTGTTATGAGTGTACATGTAAGCACGCAGGAGGCCTGAAGGCGTATCCTGTGTTTTTATCCCTCACTTCCACCGTGAGATCATGTTACTATTCAAGACGCAGCTAGAGGTGAAATCAGAGAGGAGTGGGGAGATTATACAACAGAAGAATTGTTGTGGCAAAAACAACAGATAGGACTCTTGCTCATAAAAAGTAGGAGAAAGTTGAGGCTAATGTCAGTGCAGTCTGCGGGTGTAAAATACAGCACCCATCAAATCAAACTCACGATCCACCCCTTACATTACATGCTAAATATATTCTGGAAAACATCCAGAAATAGAAAATGATGCCATTTAGACAAATGGCAATCTGTTTAAAGGTGACTTATTCTCCCCATAAAATAAGACCATTAAAACAGAGCATATGACATGAACCATAAAATAAGAATGCGCAGTGGAGAAATAGATAACAAGAGAATTATTCCCACAGAGGCTTTTTGCACCTAACAGTAAAAACAAGAGCTGTTAGCGTTCAGTTCAGAGAGTTTAATATGGAGCATAAATCAATTGAAATTTGAACTGAGAAGCATTTTGTGCATATAAACATTTCTCCACATCATGAATATCTCTTCAAAAGCTTGTAATAAAAAACATAATATCACTATCTGCCCCTCTTGGGCTTTTTGTGATGCTTCCTGTTTTATTTTGAAATCTCTGCCCTGTTGTGTTTATA